CTGTATATATTGACTGATATATACAAACCTCATGGTAACCACAAACCAAAAACCTACAATAGATACACAAAAAAACAAAGAGAAAGGAACCCAAAGATAACACTAAAGAAAATAAACCACAAGGGAAGGGGCTAAAAGAAGAAACAGAGAAGAACTACAAAAACAACCAGAAAATCATTTACAAAATGGCAGTAAGTACATACCTATCAATAATCACTTTAGATATAAATGGACTAAATGTTCCAATCAAAAGACACAGGGTGGTTGAGTGAATAAAAAAAACAAGACCCATATATATGCCACCTACAAGAGACTCACTTCAGATCTAAAGACACACAGAGACTAAAAGTGAAAGGGTGGAAAAGACATTCCACGCAAAGGGAAACAAAAAGAAAGCTGGAGTAGCAATACTTAAATCAGACAAAGTATACTTTAAAACAAAGTCTATAACAAAGACAAAGAAGAGGTCACGATAATAAGGGTCAATCCAAGAAGAGAATATAACATTAATAATATTTATGCACCCAACATAGAAGCACCTAAATATATAAAGCAAATATGAACAGATATAAAGGAAGAAATTAACAGTAATACAATAATAGTAGGGGACTTTAATATCCCATTAACATCAGTGGATAGATCATCCAGACAGAATCAGTAAGGAAACACTGACCTTAAATAAGACATTAGCCCAAATGCACTTGATATAGAAAGAATATTCCATCCAAAATCTGCAGAAGAGACATTCTTTTCAAATGTCTAAGTAACATCCTTCAGGGCAGATTGCACGCTAGGCCACAAAACAAATTCAAGTTTGAAATTATATCTAGCATCTTTTCTGACCTGGCGTTTTTGGATTACTGATTCAATTTCATTACTAGTAATCAGTCTGTTCAGATTTTATATTTCTTCCTTATTCAGTCTTAGACAATTGTATGTTTCTAGGAATTTATTCATTTCTTCTGGGTTTCCCAATTTACTGGTATATAATTGTCCATAGTAGTCTCATGATTGATTGTATTTCTGTGGTATTGGCTGTAACTTCTCCTCTTTCATTTCTGATTTTATTTATTTGGGCCCTTCCTCTTTTTATCTTGATGAGTCTGGCAAACAGTTTAGCAATTTTGTTTATCCTTCCAAAGAACCAGCTCTTACTTCCGTTGATCTTTTCTGGTTCTCCCCACCCTTGGCCACTATTTCATTTATTTATGCTCCAGTTTATATTACTTCTTTCCTTCTAGTAACTTTGGGCTTTGTTTTCTTTTCCTGGTTCTTTCAGATGTAAAGTTAGATGATTTATTTGAGATTTTTCTTATTTTCTGAGTTAAGTCTGCATTGCTATGAACTTCCCTCTTAGAATTGCTTTTGTTGTGTCCCCTAAATTTTAGAAAGTTGTGTTTCCATTTTTGCTTTTCTGCAAGATATTTTAGTTCTGTCTTTGGTTTCTTAATTGACCCATTGGTTGTTTAGTACCATGTTGTTTAGTCTCCATGTATTCGTGTTTTTTTCTAGTTCTCTTCCTGTAATTGGCTTCTAAGTTTCATACTTTTGCAACTCAACATCAAAAAAACCCCAAACAACCCAATTAAAAAATGGGCACAGGACCTGAAGAAACATTTTTCCAAAGAAGACATACAGATGGCCGACAAGCACATGAAAAGACACTCAACATCACTCATCATCAGGGAAATGCTAATCTCCATTAATTAAATGCTGTCCCCCATTAATTTTGTAGGTTCCTCCACCTGCCATTCCCCTAATATTCAAATAAACCATGCTTAATTTAACCAGATACTGCTTAAATTACCCAGAATTGATCTCCCTTGCTCACAACAAAGAACCTTAACTGTAAAGGGAGTTACCACAGATCTTGATTGGCCAATGTCAAGGGAAGGTGGGAAAAAGGCAAAACAAAAAAGAAGGAGTCAAACCAAGTATATATAGACTGATCTAAATTAAGTAAAAGTGGAATATACCCAAATGAAAAATTTAATACTAATAATACCAGCAAATACCTGGCATTCATTAAGTACCACACATTGTTCTAAGCACTTTAAATAAACTTCACAGCAACACTTTGAGATGAGTAGTATTATTCCCCTTGTTTTGCAGAGGAGAGAACTGAAGCACAGAGAGGTTCAGTAACTCTGTCTGAGGTTGAGCAGTCTGACTCCCGTGTACCAGCTCCTCACCACAATGCTCTGATGTCCAGAGAGTTTTTAGGACACTGAGTTTTTAGGACACTTTTGGAAAGGCTTTGCAGCACTGCCCTACTCAAAATGACCTACTGTTGAATCCTACTAAGCTCAGGTCACTGACTTCTGTCCAGAAAAGGATTCAATAATGACTAGATGATCAAA